GTGGTAAACAACCTGCTTCCCTATTTATAATGGTCTGGCCCTCTAGCAACTTCAGCGCGAAATTATAGCTAATTTGCCTACAAACGTCAGGTGGTCATAATAATCTAGCCACTCAGTGTATAACCCACATATTACTTTATTTTTTAAAATATATTTTTATTAATTTTGAGAGAGAGAGAGGAAGGAAGAGGGATAGAGAGATAGAAACATTGATGACAGAGGAACATCATCCATCAGCTGCCTCCTGCACGCCCCCTACTGGGGATCCAGCTCGCAATCCCAGCATATGCTCTGACCAGGAATGGAACGAACAACCCTTAGGTTTCTGGGTCGACACTCAACCGCTGAGCCACACCAGCCAGGTCCCATATTCCTTTTTTAACCATTTGAAAGTAAGCCAAAGACATGATATTTACACCTAAGTATTTTAGCCTTCCCTTACACAGTAACCACAGGCTATCATTATAGATACAAATCGGGAAATTACTTCTTCAGTAGTGTTATCTACTCTAAAGACCTTACACAAATTTCCCTCGTAGTCGCGCAAATGGCCTGCGTGCGAAAGCAGGGTCACATGTGGCATTCAGCTGTCATATCTTTTCAGCTTCCTTTCATCTGAAACAGTTACTTATCTTCCATGACCTTGGCATTTTTTGAAAAGTACAAGCCAATTGTTTTGTGGAATGTCCCTACTTTGAGGTTTATCTGTTTCTTTTTTTCTTTTTAATTTTCCCTTTGTAATTAATAAGTAACTTGCTGGGAGATACTTAGAGACTAAGCAAATATCCGGCTCCTCACCAAACCTACTTGTTTTACCACCCACTGGTGGATTCTTGCCTGGATAAGGATAAAATTCTGTGTGAGGTCAAACAAGGTCAAACTTCAGGGGAGGAAACAGGAATGGTCCCAGTGGTAGCTGATGAGCATGCGAGACTCCTCTGTCGACTTAATTCAAATAACTCCAGGTTGTGTCCACTGTTAGCTATTAAGAAAAAACACCATCTCTGGATTTGCTCGAGAGCAGCCACGAATATGCCAGTTGCTCTCACGGTGAGCCATGCCTGCTGGGAACTCAGCCCTTCAGTTCACAAAGTGCCCAGCGGCTGCAAAAAGGGCCACCTGAGCGCTAACCATCCTCGCACTGAAGCCCACGTCTCCAGGGGCAACGCTGAGGGCGCAGCTCCGTGATTCCTGGCCCACTGCGGCAGGGCACGGGGAGCTGTATTTCAAAACAAAACCTCCAACTCTCCACCACCTTATACTGAGGCACAACCCAGTTTGGAAACTCTGATTTCGCTTATTCGAGAAACGTTTTTTAAAACTCTGTTATCACAAAGTTAGAAGCCAGAAATTACGTAGAAGCAGAGAGAACACTTTGAAATCACATACTGGTTGTTACACTGCAGCCCACTGATACCCAGTTTGCATTCCAGTCTATATTCTAGGGTCTTTCCTCTTTGCACATGCATACTTTATCAGAATGGAGAGCATGCTGTCCCACCAGCCTTCTTCAGGCGGGTCTGCACCGGACAATGAAGGAAAAGGATTTGAGTGTCTCAATTCTTCCAGGGATGGTCTGAATTTAAATTCATTCCAGAGGCAAAGGAGAGAAGTTATTCATAACATGCAATGGCTGCCGTAGAGTATCAGGGCTAAATTCTCTTGTAGAGCCCAACTCTACAAGGGCTGGTCTGTACTGTTGTGTAATTTGTTGTTTACCTAGTAATCCATTAAATAAGTATTTAACGAGCACTTTCCACACACAGGCCCTGGGAGTATAAAGATAAACAAGACAAGGCTCCCTTCCTCTATAAATGAAGAATCCAGGCAGGGAGAGTGAAAAGCACCTAAAAACCCCAAATATTCACTAACGCCGCGCTAGAGGAGCAGCGGTGCTCCTGGGATGCCCTGGGCAAGGACCCACTAGCTCCAGCTCAGGAAACCAGGGAGGCTTTGCTGGGGTGATGTGTAAAAGGGTCCTCGAGGGACCGAAATAGAAGAGGCATTCCTGATGGTAGGAAGGGCATGCCCAATGCCCAGAGAGGTGTGCTCAGGCCAGATCACAGGGAGATGTGACTAAGAAGGAACCAGGCCCTCCAAACTGGCCCCAAAGGAGGCCCGGGGTGGCCATAAGTGGTGAGCTCAGCCTAGGACAAAGGTGACCAAGGGAGAGGGTGGGCAAGGGGCTGCTGAGATCACTGCAGCCAGAGGGGAGGGGGAGCTGAGCCAGAGCAGGGACGGCAAGAAGGGGTACAGGAGACGTGCAGGAAGAAGATGCCACAGGACTTGGTGACTGAGCTGGCAGCGGCTGTTCTTATAGCACCCAGTCAGCCGAGATCAGCTGCATAATAACCAATTCAGGCCACTAATGGGGGGAAAAAGAACATACTGCCACCATTCTGAGATGGTTTAACAGCAGAGGAGGGGCCAGAGGAAAGAAGACATGACACTGAGGTAAGCTGAAGAAACTGCTCACTGAACTGCCCCTCCTCTTGGGTCCTCCAAGCTCTAACAAAAGGCCTTAGCTTATAGCTCTCTGGCGGTGGCCCCGTAACAGCAAATTGCATACATGTGACTAAGAAGGAACCAGGCCCTCCAAACTGGCCCCAAAGGAGGCCCGGGGTGGCCATAAGTGGTGAGCTCAGCCTAGGACAAAGGTGACCAAGGGAGAGGGTGGGCAAGGGGCTGCTGAGATCACTGCAGCCAGAGGGGAGGGGGAGCTGAGCCAGAGCAGGGACGGCAAGAAGGGGTACAAGAGACGTGCAGGAAGAAGATGCCACAGGACTTGGTGACTGAGCTGGCAGCGGCTGTTCTTATAGCACCCAGTCAGCTGAGATCAGCTGCATAATAACCAATTCGGGCCACTAATGGGGGAAAAAAGAACATACTGCCACCATTCTGAGATGGTTTAATAGCAGAGGAGGGGCCAAAGGAAAGAAGACATGACACTGAGGTAAGCTGAGGAAACTGCTCACTGAACTGCCCCTCCTCTTGGGTCCTCCAAGCTCTAACAAAAGGCCTTAGCTTATAGCTCTCTGGCGGTGGTCCCGTAACAGCAAATTGCATACGCAGAGCATGCTACAGGAGAACGAGTCTGTGGCAACCCCATGACAGCCACGAAGAAAGCAAAATCTGGAAGCTACCTCTTTACTAAAAGATTTCACTCTTAACTGAAGGGAAATACAAGTAGTCGGGCTGAATAAATAATTCTTAGTGAGAGAAAGTGAATGTTAGTAGAATTAAGAAATAACAAAAGCCACCCTGGGACCCAATAAAAGCAGCCTCCACCGTAGGGACCTTCCCCAAACCTAAGTATAAGGGGACACACAGGGAATGAGATCATGGGACAGAATGTATGCAAATTGAGTTACGAGCTCTGTCACGGAACGAATTAAACTCGAAGGTCAAGGTCCCACTGTAGTCGGGCTGAATAAATAATTCCTAGTAAGAGAAAGTGAATGTTAATAGAATTAAGAATTAACAAAAGCCACTCTGGGACCCAATTCAAGGAGCCTCCACCGTAGGGACCTTCCCCAAACCTGAGTATAAGGGGACACACAGGGAACGAGATCATGGGACAGAATGTATGCAAACTCTAAAACAGGGATCCTCAAACTTTTTAAACAGGGGGCCAGTTCACTGTCCCTCAGACCGTTGGAGGGCCGGACTATAGTTTAAAAAAAAAACTATGAACAAATTTCTATGCACACTGCACATATCTTATTTTGAAGTAAAAAAACAAAACGGGAACAAATACAATATTTGTATTTGCATGTGACCCGCGGGCCGTAGTTTGAGGACTCCTGCTCTAAAACAACCAAGTGTGGGACTAGGAAGTGACGTCACTACACAGGACCCCAGTG